GTCCACAAAGAGCCAGACAATAATTGGAAAGTGTCTTGATAAACTCAAGCTCAGGGATGAAGTTAAATGATACACTGTCCATGACACAAGGTCAAGAGAGCTTATCCCAATTTCTTGCTGGTGCAGCTCGTATCTGTGGTGTCTCCTCTCTTACCATTCTAGTCACCCCTCAAACGACACAGTTCTAGCTTCTACTTTCTTCCACTCCCCGGAAATTGCAAACTTAATTTTTGCTTTCACTGAAATTCTTCTGATTGTAAAACACAGTGGCCATATTTTGGACTCTAATGACTGTGTGGTATCGAACAGGTCTCACACACTGCACTTTCTGTTTTGGTTTTGGGCCCTGAGCACCCCTCTTCTTCCTCTGACTTCGTCCAGCCCTCATTTTCTGATTTCTTCCTGAGTCCCCCGCCCAACACCCTCCTTGCTAGTGTTTCCCAAACTTCTGCCCTTGACCTATTTTCAGACCATTTCATGCCTGTGTGTCTCCTCACACTGTCCACTGCATGCACCTATTAGCTCACAATTGCTCTGGGAAACGGAAGGCAAGGTCCTCCCTGAGTGTCTCAGGAAGGGATCTTGATGAAAGTGAAATTAGATCCAGTGAAGTAGAGTGGGTGAGAGGAGAGTAGCAATGCACAGGGAGTGCTAGAGGGTCCCATGCTTGGTGAGCTGAGCAGATAGCCCAACACGACTTCCTATTAGTGCCTCTCCCAAAGGAAATCAAGAAGGGGCCTCGGTATGATTCAACTTTTTGTACCCATGGGTTCCATGTCCATGGACTCAACCAACCACAGTTACAAAATATTTGGGAACAATTTTTCATCAGCACTAAACATGTATACTTTTATTGTGTCATTATTCCCTAAATAATATAGTAAAATAACTCTTTATACAGTGTTCGCATTTTAGTAGATGAGGTGATGTGCACAGGTTATATGCAAATACTACACAATTTCATAGAAGCATCGTGAGCAGCTGAAGTTTTCTTGTCCATAGTGTGTTTGTGTGTATGCGCATGCATGCATGTGTGTCCTGAAACCAATTTCCCTTCCACTCACACTGAGGAACAATGATACCAGCACAAAGTGGATCACTGGGCTAGTGCTGTATTTGCCAAAGAGCATCACAATTACTGAAATGATTGGACCATAAAGTTCAGGCAGAAGGCCAGGTAGGGGTTAATGAATATATACAAAGTAACCAACAATCTGAGACAAATTATGCTATCCTACCTTTCTTGTCCCCTGTAATAATTACTCCCTGCATCACACTGCCTCTGGACCTTGCACAGACTTCTGCTATCATATTCACTAGACTACTTTGCGACAGCAGCATAAGCCTGACACAGGATGTACAAGGTCAGGAACTTCGCTCAGCATCTCGACTGCAGTGGCGCAGTTTCATACGTGTGCCACTCCACTCCACTGTCTTCGCACCCCACAGCTCCACCTCCGCAAAATCTGCCGTTCCCAATCTTTTTTATTTAAAAAAAAAAAATTAGATGCTAGAAGAATAATGTCTGTGCACAGAAAGCTAAAACTGTAATATTTTTAAAATGTTAATGAAATTTTACATTGTTCTAACTTTACTAGATACTAGAGAATCCAAAGTCCCTTTAGTAGATTTGAATAAATTAAAGTTTTTAAAGTGAGATCAATACGAGCTTTATATAAAGTTAATCACGATGAAAACAAACATAGCTTGTAGGAAGTTAAAGAAGCTTTAACAAATGTTCTTTCCTTAATGGAATATCTGAAAAACTTTGATTGTCAGCTCCCAGAGGGTAGGAAGTGTTTGCAAAATTAACCTTGTATCTATGGCCAAGCTTTATACAAGGATATAGCACTCGCCAGAACATCAGGAAAGCATTAAATATATTGCTTTTGAGTAAATGCAATAGCATTTGTCTTATTTTTATTGTTTTAAAGTGCTAATTTTGCACCTAGCTCCTCATTATCTTGCTGCCACTTGATAAAAATAAAAAGTTGTGCTGCAAGATGAGCTCAGGATTACATTTTCCTCACCAAAAAAGGAGCTTTTTAGTAGTTTGGAAACTATACCTTACAAGAGAGACCGTGTATTTTAAAACACAGCTGCAGGATATTTAATGCTTATTCTACTCCAATACTGTGAATTTCAAATTGAAATGGGATGCAGCATTTGTGAATTGGGTCACAATGTCAAATGCTACAGGAGCCTGTAAAATGTGACCATCTCTAACATCTTAAATTAAATGCTAATGTATATAGCCATATAGCGTGATTTTTCTGAATTCCTCTCGGCTTGTCACACTTTAAAAACTACAGAAAGTTTTCAAGATGCCTTGACCCCAAAATGAACAGAAAAAGGGAAAGGGGAAAAGGAGGGAGTGAGTATGATGGAAATATCGAGTCTCTAAAGCAATATTCATTGTGTGTTCTACGAAACAGAACTAAGCCTCTAAAATCCACATTCTATAATCTATACTACTGCCTCCTCAGGCAGTGCTTGTGAAGTACCAGGATGATGCAATATTCGACCCCCATCAATTAACTTGGAAATACTTGAGTATTTGGTCAATGATGAGATTAGCTTCAAATATGTTCATCTGCTCCAATAAATCCAGTGAACATTTCTAAATCAGAAATAGGAAGGGTAATATATACCTGCCTTTTTAAAGGGGCCTATGAGCAAATCTGGGCACCCCTTCCCATTCATGTTTAGATTCACAATTGATTTATTATAAGCTGGGCCTGAGGAAAGAGGAAGATGACTGAAGGTATTAGAAATGTCACTGGTGATTTCCTCTTCTTTCCAATTACAAGTATTGTCTTGCACCCAGGAAAGTGAGTTTCTCCTCTCAAGTACACAGTAGGGAGAAACAGACCTGAGGAAATTGATATTGTTTTCATTAAGTATGGTTAACACAGGCTGCATACATTAATGCAAAGGAAGAACAAAGAAAATGTATTTCCATTCACAGAAGGAGACAAAGTGAGACAGAGAAAGATATACAATATGCTGATCGATTTAATAAAATGGACAAAGAAATATATAGGCCCATATCGAAAGAACAGTCAACTTATTTCCAGGATGATCAATCTAGCCAGTCCAAAATGAGCTTCTGTGCTTTCTTAAGCCTGTCCGAAAAGGTATTAAGTTGTCAAATCTTTGAGACTATGTAAGGGAAACTCTGGCATTTTTTAAGAAGCTAGTTTTTACAGCCCCAAACAAGGAATATTTGTTATAATCTTAGTGAGAAATTCCTACAAAATTTAAGAAGTACAATGCCAAAATTAGGAATACAGTACAAGGAGAATATATATAATCAAATAAGTCAATGGAAGAAATGTAAATTGGGAGAAAATATAAATTGCATTTCATAAATCCATCATTTTTCTATTGTCCCAAAAAGTACAACTCCATTGTTTGTATTATGAAATACTTATTTGTAGCCAGTCTGAAGTTTCTTCAGCTAAAACAACAGGAGAGAGTCCTGGTGGTTGTTTTCTTAACTGTTCAAATACATATTTAAAGAACAAGGAAGATATCACCAGATAAATAAGGTTTTTATCTAAATGTATCTATATACACTAACATACACACTCATTTTTAATGTTACTTTGGTATACAGGACCAGTAATTACTGGGTTATCAGTTATCTTCTTCCTTACTCCTATCTTACCTTTATTCATTAATTTCACTCATTAATTTATTGAGCACTTAAACCCAGGTCACAACAATGAAAATCAGTGAATTACCAATAACTGAGGAACCACCCATAAAAGACAAGCCTGCCACTGTCTCTCTAGTTAATGAGGACAACAGAAAAAAAAAAGTGAATGGAGTACAAACAAATTTAAAGCAAGGCAGAAAAGTGGTGTAAAAAAAACGAGATAATTATTGAGCAGAGCTGAGAAACATCTACCTCCTAAAACTGATTATTTCTTCCAAGTACAAACAGTACAGCTACCAATAATATTTATGTTATTTATCGTCTTACTCCTCCTTGCCCTTGATAACCCAAAAGTCCAAGTACCATTGAAGTTACAGTATGGGGATTTACCCTCCATGTGAGAGAAGATGCAACTTTGTTCTCCAATAGACAAGCCTTTCAGAGGACAGCACTTCAAGTATTTATGCACAACGGATTGAAAGCACAGGTCGATTTTGTGATATTGATAACAGATGCCTCACAGACTCCTGTACATGCAAAACTGTAGGCAGGTTTGGAAGGATATGTAGGTGGGGATAAAGCAAGACTAGCGATGAATGGTTCATGGTTGAAGCTGGAGTTATGTTTACTCAGATATGGGAAGTTCAGTATACTCATCTCTACTTTTTCCGTAAGTAAAAGGTTAAAAAGGAAACAACAGAAACTAAAGTAAACTAAAGTTGAGCTAATGTAAACTAGAGCTCAAGCTGTATCTCAAAATAATCAGTGAAAAAGGGAAAGTAAATAGGAATGAAAGATTAGGATTTCATGAGTAATACTACTTACAGATAATACAAATGCTTTGTTTGAGTAACGTAAATTCCTTCCTTCAATGAACAGCACAGGTAATACCCGGATATATACCCATTTTTATACCCAGCAAAATGGATTTACTGAGCTCTTATTTCTCCTGAGTTATCTTTGAAAAAATGGCTCCTAGCCAGGGATCCAAGAATTAAAAAAAAAGGAAAGGACCCAGATAAACCACAAAGTGTGCCATATAACTGCAGAACAATCAAAAGCTAGTAACGTACACAATAGAAGAAAAACAGGTGTGATGAGCCATTAATTTACATCTTGAATTTTTTTATCACTGATCACTCAGAAAGTCACAGATCAAACACTTTCAATTATATTGTTCTGTTTGGAGCAGGCACTCAAAAAATGATCATGAGCTAAAAATACCATTGTTGGCTGAATTGTTTAATTATACATGGCTACACTACCACAGCTTCACTTTTAAATTTATGCCACAGTGAGAGAATTTTGTGATAAATCCAACATATGAGGTACATTCTACCTGATATCCAAAGAAGACCATCAGCCACATATCCAGCATGACATGAAAGGGATCGGTCAAAGGACTGCACGAAAGTCCATTTGTTCTTCTTGGGGCAGTATCGCTCAACTGTAGGCAGAACTTGCCGTAGTTCATTTCTGCCCCCGACTGCGTAGAGGTACTCATCCATGGCACCCAATACAAAGTGCTCCCGGCAGTTTTTCATAGGTGCTATCTCCGCCCAGGAGTTACTGCGGGGGTCATAGCGACAAGCAGTCCTCACAGCACACGTTCTGCCACTGGCATGCTCCACTTCCCCTCCTGCTACGAACAGGAAGTCCCCCATGACTGCTACGCAGTGATGGCTCCTTCCCACTGGCATGGGAGCCAGCTCGCTCCAGTTGGCAATAGCAGCTATGAGAGCATTCTCCTGGTCAACAGGATTAAAATAGCGAAGTTCCTTGACTTTACAGACCTCACGCTTTTTCCCACCAATGATATACAGAGTGTCTGACTGGAAGCGTGGTTTGGTCCTGCAGGTCTGCCAGACGGGCTGTGCATAGATGCTCTGGTGGTATTCCAGGGCCTCGTTGACAAGGGCTGTTGCAGTCTCACTCGCCCGGACCAGGGGGTGTGACAGGGCAACTGTATGGAGAGTATCCACGTCCATGAGGCCAAAGCGGATGTACTGCAGAAGCTCATCCATGTATTGGTAATGGCAGTTATGTTCCAACCACCTCACAGCTAGCTGAAACAGAGGGAAGTGGGATGAGAGGAAAAGAGGAAAAAAGAAAGCACAACCACAGTGGCATACAGGCAGGTCACCATGTATTCTTTCAGGCAATTAATACCAGTTTTGCTACAAACCACTATAGTAGGAGAATATTTTGATATTTAAGCAAGGGACTTTTTTCTTCCCATATCAGCACAGACACAGAAGAACTCATTGCTACAGGAGTGAGGAGCAATGTGAAGCAACCCCGATGGCGGTTAATTATATTTAGGGTGAACAGGATTTGCTTTCCAAATAATGAAAATACTGTTGCGAACCAGCCTGTTGTCTTATCTTTCCTGCATAAGAGGCTTAGTACACCCCACCAGTAGGAAATGCCAACAGTGAGCAGTGCCGTCACAGCTCAGGTAATATATGTCAACTTGTGAGCCAAGGTGCTGTATCAATATGAGTAAGTAAGAAAATACGTGATCATCTGGGACCACAGGGTGCACTTGAGAGAAAATCAATATGACACTAGTAGAATGATTTAGAAAGAAAAACGACTTTCCCCCACCTCTTTGGTAGGTAGAGCAGTCAGGAAGCAAAAAAAAAAAAAAAAAAAAGGAAAAAGTAAGATTATAGCTTATCAATTTTATTTTTTTCCTCTCAGTTTTCACCTTGAAGATAGTTGTTATCTGTGCATGTAAGATGCTGACAATTTTTTAGGGTCATTTTCTCAAGCAGGATATAGAGGAGTTTATCTTTGTATTATGGACAAAATAGCAGAATATAATCCCCATCTATTTTCCCTTTCAGATCTTTTTGAAGAACAAAAGAACTTTTGGCTACAGCCAAAGAGTGTCCTAAAACTAAAACAAGTTCAATAAGTAAAAATAACAGAATTAAACATTAATTTTAAACTGCCATCAAAAAAGAAATTCATTTATGAAACAATGAAGTAATTTAGAGTGACTTAATATTTAAGTTTGGCAAATGACTCCATGTACTAGGATAAAATAGTATGCCTAATCTTTCCACTCGATATGTTTGATACAAATTATTCTTAGCAACACCTAATTCAGGTAGAACTTCTAAAATGAATCTGAGAGAGTTAGCAGAAAAATGCAATGAATTTGAATATTAAATAATTCTTATTGTGTTTTATTTGGTTTCTAACTCATGGAATTTGGGCTCTGGGCTCCCCTGTTCAGAGGATGCCTGGTCACCATTAACAAGGACCAGGAAATGCAGTACTCTCAGATCCTTACCCCTTGGCACAATGATCTAGATTGTCTTCCAGTAAGAATCACTAGGTTTTCTGAGGCACTGAATGATTTCAGACTTTCAGGGTTTCTGTATTCATCTGAAGAATGGCTTCAAATGGTAAGGTGCATTTTGTGCTTGTTCTTTAGCTTCTAAATGAAGTGAGTTCAATTCTATGCAGTGAAGTGCATCTCTTAATTAATACAGAGGGAAAAGAAACAACAACAAAGGAATGCCCTTAGTTACCAGTGTGGCGGGTACTATGGGGGGAAGGTGAATGATACTTTTGATGTTTTACAGAAGATGGCATTTTCTAAATTTAAATAAGATATCAGCCTGATGGGAAAAAAACCTATGTATGGTAACATCAGCAATAATCAAAGTTGCTGCAAAAGAAAAATGTAACCCATCAATCACCAGGTATCTGCCAGAAGAAGGGAGGGTTCTCACGTGTGGCATCCCAGTCTTTCTTTTTCTTTTTCTTTCTTTTTTTTGCCCTAAAGACAGAAGTTTCAAGGGAAGGGGTTCCAATTATTTCTCTAGAGAGATACTTCAACAACTTCATGAATGAATTTTCATTCTTTGCCCACAGGTCCTTCAGAAGTTCTAGGAATAAAGTCATGCGGTTCAAGGTCATTTCTCATGCACTAGGTACAATTTTCTGAAACACAACCTTTGATAGCGCCCCTAGTTGAGTAATTCTAGTTGACACTGTTTTGCTCTCTAAGCAATTTCTCAGCATTCTATATCCTTACAGCTCTGCATCTTTCATATACTGTAGTATACGACAGAAAACAGCACTGGAGAAACATTAGATAAATATCCATGTCACCATAGCCTCTTTTCATAGCATAGTGTTGCCCATTTAATTATTTTCCTTGCTCATCATAAATCAGTTCTTCCTGTGTCATAACATCAGCTATACATATAAATACTCTGCACTTTTGCAATAATATTACATGTAAAGGTATTATTGTGCTCTCTTAAAAAAGTAAGAACATGAATCAGCATGGTATCGGCAAAAAATACATACCTAAGGATCAGTGGAACAGACTGGAAGATGCAGTCACAACCACAGACACACTCAGTCACCTTATCTTTGACAAAGGGGCCAAACAAGTTCACTGGAAGAAAGATGGCCTCTTTAATAAATGGTGCTGGAAAAACTGGCTACGCCACATGCTGAAAACTAAAACTAGACCCATGTCTATCACCATACACCAAACTAAAGTAAAAGTGGATTAAAGATCTCAATATTAAAACAGAAACACTAAATCTGTTGGAGGAGAATGTAAGTAAAAACCTTGAAGACATAGGGGTAGCAGAGAGTTCATGAACGAAAACCAAATGGCACAGGAAATACTTCAAAGAATCAACAACTGAGATCTCATCTTTTTGAAAAGTTTTTGCATATCTAAAGAAATCACCAGCAGAGTAAAAAGGAAATCCATAGATTGGGAAAAATTTTAGCCAACTGTCCCTCAGACAAAGGACTTATATCTAGAACATAAAAAGAATTTTAAAAAATCAGCCCCCCCCCAAATTCAAAGACCCAGTCCAAAAATAGGCATCTGAGGTGACTATACACTTCTCAGAGAAAGAAATACAAATGGCAAATAAATAAATGAAAAAATGTTCAACAACATAAGTCATTTGAGAAATGCAAAGTAAAGTAACACTGAGATTCCATCTCACCCCAGAAGAATGGTTGTCATCGAAAAATCAACCAATAACAAATGCTGGAGGAGCTGTGAGCAAAAATGAACCCTTCTCCACTGTTGGTGGGAGTGTAGCTTGGTACAACCATTGAGGACATCAGTCTGGAGATTCCTCAGTAAACTAGGATTAGAGGTCCCATTCAACCCAGCTATTTCCCTTCTGGATATTTTCCCAGAAGAACTGAAAACATCATACCACAGCGATAGATGTGCACCCATGTTTATAGCAGTGCAATTTGTCATAGCTAAATCATGGAAACAACCCAAATGCCCATCAACTGAGGAATGGATAAAAAAGATGTGGTATTTTTATATAATGGAATATTACTCAGCTATAAAAAAAGAAACTTGAGGCTTTTAGAGGTAAATGGATGCAACTAGAGACCATACTCATAAGTGAAATAAATCAGACTCACATGTGTAAACATCATATTGTCTCCATAGTGTAAGAAGCTGAAAGAGTGAATAAAATCTAGAAAGTACAATAGATATTGTTCAAGGGAAAGAAACTGCTCAAAAGGAAAGAATGACTGGGATGAGGGAAAAGAAAAAAGAAAGAAGGGAAAAATTTGTATATATGTACACACAAGATAGCTAAGATAACTGTACTACCAATGTCTATTGCTTTCCTGAAAGGAACAGTTAATGTTTAATTGTTTGATCAATCTTACATGCCTATCTTTATTTATCTGAGTAACCAATTTGAAAATAACAGTGTGTAATATGACAACCATCGTTAATTTCCTATCAGCTTGTCTGAAATTCTATACTGTTTTTATTATTTTGTTTATGTCTGCATGTTTGTTAATATATTTTGGTTCTTTTGTCTTTAAAGTTAAAAAATAAAAATAAAAAAGTAAAAACTTTTACAAAAAAACAAAAGAGAAAAACCACTGAAAACAAGAATAATTATTATTTAGTCGAATAATGAAGGAAATAGCCAAAAAAATTCAAAATAACAGGCCACCTTGAAATACTTCATATGTTTTGAACTTAACCAGGGCACTTTTCACTGCCATCAATCAAAGGAAAGGTAGAAGGAATTTTGGTACTTACTTGAGGGGCATAGATACAAAACCAGGAGACTGAGTCCTCACTGAGGCCTCCTGGTACCCTTAGTTAGCTCTGTAGCTTGTTTTAATAATTATGCTTGAAAAAGATTATTCTGCAAACTAGCAGCTTTACAATGACGACACTACAAAAAGAAAGGATACCTTAGGAGAGGCTGAACTCCTATCCTGTCCTATTCATTCCATCACACTGCTATTCTGCTCCCTTATTGCAATGGGGAAAGAAAACGAAGCACATAGCCAAAGTCTAATCTTCCACCCTTTTGGTACAGGTATTAAGAGGGAAAAAAAAAATACAGATTCAGTGTGGGAGAGCACAACAAAGGACACTTAGGAAACATGATAATTAGGCAAGATTTTCCTACATCACGTGAAAGACAGTGGATTGTCATGTCTAAGAACGGTAGGAGTTCGCTCGTGCACCCTGCCTAACTCAATTCATTTGAGCCCAATACAGATTGTTTCTTTATAGAAAAAGCATTAGCTGGACCTTAATTCAAACCCAACTCATCTATCTCATTTTCAATAGGGCAGTACTCGGACACAGACAGCTCTAAATATTTGTGGCACAAATGGAAAAAATTTTCACAACTGTTCTTAGGCTACTTCTTCAATTTCTCTTGAGCAAACAATACAAATTCCTTTGTATACTTATTTATTTAACATGGGCTTCAGTTTCCTATTTTATCTCATCTTTTTGGCTTTCTTTCTCCTGAGACCTTTATAAGCTCTCTAATATCTACCATGCCTCATAGAGTGCACTGAATTTAGAGATGTAGGCCCTGATTTCCTCTTCCACAGTCCTGGTGCTTGCCACTTCTGTTTGAGATTCTTGACAGCTCAACACTGTGGTCTCTTAAGCTTACAAATAAATAATAAAACTTGCAGTCCAGAAGAAAACTGTAGAATCCACTTTGTTCAAGTTTCTCACTTTTACAGGTGGAAATAAAATCCAGACAAGATAAATGACTTAACCCAAGTC